TCGTGCATCCAGCTCTCCCGCTGCTCTGGCGTCATCTCGGACACGAACTGGTTGAACTTGTGAGCCCACTCTTGCTGCTGCTCCGGCGTCATCTTGACCGCGGGATCGGGGAAGAAAAGCATCATCTGCTTCATCTGGGACTTTTCTCCTGCGCTGTCTGTGCCGGGCGCTGGGAGGGCCACAGCGTTATTAAGCGTTTGCTCCAATGCTTGCTCGCGACGATCCTTCTGTGGGCTCGGCCCGGGGCTAAGCGCATGGGGCACCGCTGCACCAGCGGGTGCATGTACTGCGTTGTGGTGATTAGCAACTGCGGCTGGTGCGGATGTAGCAAAGTGAGGCGCGTTTTGTGCGGGATCAATGGCCGATGATGTGACAGGCACATTGTTGGCGAATGCAAGCACAATCAAGGGCACAAGCGGGATTAAAGAAGACAAGCGCATATTGGAAAATGGAAGTAATATCTTGAGAGTTATATGGAAGGTGAGGTATTGTGCAACAAAAAATAAAGCGATAATGCTGGTGTTGGTAGCTTTTATACGTCTCCTCCCAGAATGAGGCAGTTGTGCATTTGGTCCTTTTTTGGTCCACCAGGCGACAAGTTCTCTGGTGTTTCAGATGCATTTCCCAAGGCGCAAATCTAACGAGGCACTTTTTGCTTGCTTTCCTCAGATGCGGCCTTTGTGCAAGGCAGGCTCACAAACATTTTTTTCTTGGATGGCATACAACTTTTTGCAAATGGAGGTAGCGGGCTGGAGCAGTAGCAGGTAACAATTTCCAAAGAGAATTTTTTTTTGGTGCGGGGGTGTTGCTCCAAAATTAAATTCCCCAGAGTTTATTGTTTGTGTGAGTGTGAATGGGGCACACGCACACACGCTCACAATATGGCTTTAAAATATGTTAATTACTGAGAAAATAGCAGCAAGCGAATGTTCGCAAGAGTATTAGAAATGCAAGTAGCTAAGCGATTAGACTGGGTAAAGTAGCTAATTGTGCCGCAAAAAAATTGGTATTGAACGGTGTGGAGCAAAATAAGGAGCGAAGAGACAAAAAATAAATGTGGAGCAGCAGGGATTTGAACCCTGGACCTCTCGCATGCAAAGCGAGCGCTCGTACCGACTGAGCTACAACCCCTGTTTTCTAAGCTATTCGCTAGACTTCTAGTTGTCAATAAATTAAAAGGTATTTGCTACAGAATGTAACATAGTAGCAAAGAGGTGACAATAGAGGTAATCTTACTTCATTATTGTGCTGACTCTTCTCTCTTACCTGATGCTGACTGCTAAGCGCAAAACTTGGTTGTAGATATTTCAATATACGAATAGCTATAAAGCAAAAAGGAAAATATGAATTTTATCTAGCTCGTCATACTTGACAATATGTCTACTGGTACTATCTATGCTGCAAAGGACATTATAAAAAGAGAAAAGGACCAATGGCTGC